GACTCTTTCTATCTCCGTCCCAGCATGCATCTCTCTTCCTGCAACGCTGTCGATATTTCTGACCGCTTGTCTCACCATCTGTCTCTATCTGTCTCACCCCAGTAGAGGAACAGACAGGAAAACATCGCAGTCAGCTATAGCACCGGTTTACACAATGCATACTCTTCACAACAGAGATGGTTAGAGAGAAGTGTAAGGGAGCGTGATTCTGCATCCATTTTCTGTTTGTGTGTGTGTGTGTGTGTGTGTGCGTGCTGGTGTGCATGTTTGTCCAACGCATTAGCACACACTTTTGCAGATGTTTTCCCAGATGCAAACATTATGGCACCAATAACCCTGGAGCCAGCCACACACAAGTCGGCACTAATATAACACACAGAGGCGACTCTCACTCTCAAACAAACAGGCTTTAAGGGTGTGTGTGTGATGAATGTGTGTGATGGATGTTTTCAACAGGATCAGAAATAGCACTGGTGAGAAGAGCAATCATGCGAGCAAAAATACTTAAAATAAAAAGAGAAAAATCAACAGTTGAGTTCTAAAATAACTTCAGAATAACATAACTGCCAGAAACATCAGCCATATTTACACCTGCTCAAGATTAGCTTCATAGGGCTGCTTCATTGGAGTGCATAGAGACGTCTTTACAGTGGCACTGGAAGGAATCCACAGAGCTGCAAGTACTTTACAAAGCCTGTTACCTTATTAAGGGTTCCTCAGCATCTGCTTTTTATCTTATTATATATATTATGTTTTTGGGGTTGTCTGCCCATCCGTCTGTATGTCTGTCTGTCGAATTCTCATTAATGTGACCAATTGCTGGTTTGAATGAGGAAATGTGTTGCTTTTCTTTGTTTAATATTTCGTTACCTGAATATCTGAATATATATTTTGGGTTTGGGACCGTTCGGTAAAACAAGCAATTTGAAGACATCCCCTTGGGCTTGCGGTAAAATTATGATAAGCTAAAGAAATAAAGGGAAAGCGATGACTAGCGAGGTGGAAGTGAAATACACCGAGCGATGTAAGCTTGTATAAAGCAAACCAGTGGAATCTTGTTTGTGCGAGATGATATAGTCTTCTAAAAACTGTGGCAGGAAGCTTTTTCCTGGGACAGGGCCGAGGGCTGTCTCGGCTATAATCACACTACAGATGTTTTTTTTTACAGTAGATCATTCGTTTTCGGGGTTCTCTAAAAACTCCCCAACACAAAAAGATACTAATTTGTAGCTTTGTAATTCATGCGCCGGGACTTTTTGGTTGTGGCTGTATTACGTTCGTCCTCCAGCTACCCGTGCATGTAACCGTCCATTAATTGGAGATCCTTTCACTGGCGAAATATTGACGGTGTGTCTTGAATTTTGATATGGATGAAACACTTCCAACCGGGCCTTCATCATTGATCATCAGTCCACAACATGACTGATTATCTGATTACAATATTAAGCAGATAAACAAAACTCTAAAAAGGCGATGCATTGTGAAAATAAGCTCCTCCGACACTAATTAGCACACTCTCTGGCTTTTCCTCAATCATCTGTCTCCCTTCACTCCGTGTCTTCCACTGCTCATCTTCATTTGATGGTTATCAGATGAGAAAGGTGTAAATTGCTGCTCCGAGCCGTCTCAGCAAAATTCCCCGGTTGCGCTATCTCTCCTGTAGCGTGCAATCACTTCCCTTCCCTGGTTCCTTTATCCTCTGCCTCAATCCTTTCATCTCCGGAGGGAAAATGGGACGTTTTCACCGACTCTTGGCGCAGGAAGGACACAGCACAGGTGTGTGTTTCCTTATGCATGAACTTCGAAGGGGAAATATATTCAATAACTATGGAACCAAATTGAGGTGATGGCGCGCATGTGTTGTGTGTGCACATGCTAATGTCGATGAGCCACCACCAGTGTTAATGAGGCCGGGCCTCTGCCAGTTTTCCCCTCTTCCTTTCTGCTCTGGAGAAAAACTCCGTCATTAATGTCCCACCAGAATGGTGTGAATATGAGAGAAGAAGAAAAAGGGAGAGTGGATACTGGTGGGAGGCATGTAATAATTGGTCAGCTTGAGCCCAAGGAAGACAAATCCGCAAGAAAATTCATGAACAGGCAGGCGACACGTCGCCCTGCCTGTGAGAACATGGTCCTCTCAGTCGCCCTCAGTCCCAGTGGGAGACAGAGGACGGGTACACTGTAGGCCACATGTTGTTCTGAAGATCCAGGGCTTCCTTTAAGCTCGGATTCAGACTTTAATATTTGTGCACGGGTGTATTTTTCAGTCGTGTACACATGGTTTTAATTAACGACAAAATGAGAAGGAAACAAAGGGAGGGAACTGGTGGTGTTGTTGTTTATCACTGAACTGTTCCGATAATGAGAATCGAATGGGGGGGCTGGCACGTTGTTATTGTGCTTCTTGGCAGGGTGTCTGTGTTTGTGTGTATGCGCACTATATTATACTGCGCATACACAATCCTAAGTGGCCAGGACAAGCTGGAAGAGAGCTTTAACCCCCTCAGGCACAAAGTGTTGGCTGTAAGGTAAAACTGGCAAAAGCACAAGTGCACAGACACCGTCGCTGCCAGCTGCGCTGAGGAGGTGACTGCCAGTGTGGCGGGCCAGTGGCTTAGAGAAGGAGACCTGGAGAGAAAATAAGGAGCAGCCCTCCGGTGGAGTCTGTTTGCCCGAGGCGCCAGCTCAATATCTACCATTCATGTTGTTTATCCCTTTCCCCTCTGTCGCCTTACACCTCTTTGTATTCTCCTTATAGTTCTGCTCTTTGTCTCTTTTTTGCCCGCTCGCCTATGTGCTCCTCCTGTTCATGCACATCTCACTGACCTTTCTTTAACTACTCCGTGCATCTCTATCCGTCTCCTCGCTCTCGCTCCCTCTAGAGTCCGCTGAGCGTTCACTGAGAGGCTGCAGCTTCACCACCATTTACTCCCCCCTCGAGCAGGTCCGCTCACCAACATTCACATGTGTGTTTATCTTTTCGGTCCCCCGACAGCATCCAGATAGAATCCTGGATGTATGTTCAGCAGCCTCAAGGTGATGAGATACTCTGCACAGAAGAGACCGTGTTTATTTATCAGGTAGAGCGTATGAAAAGAAAACTGACAGTGATAGTCCTGCAGTCTTGTGTCTGTAGTGGACTCTAATAGAGGGTTTTTGCTCAGACAAGACAAGAAAATTTGAAAATTTAAAGCATCATTAAGTTCTGGGAAACTGATGGCCATTTTTTTCCCTTGATATTTTCATAGACTAGTTGATCAATGGAGAAAATAATCAGCTGATGAACGGATAATGATAATGATAATGATTTTTGCTACCATGCCCAATTTTTGTCATCATCAGGTTTTTCTTATTTTTAAATCCCATTTTAGCTCAATTTTTCAACAATAAATAGTCAAAAATGTCTTGTTTTTTCATTTTAAATGAAATTAAGGCTGCTGCATTTCTCCACACCTGCTTGAATAGGCAACCCGTGACTGTGGAAGACCTTTGAGGAATCATCTCATCCACTCCTGTGTGAACACATGCAAAGCTCTATAAATGTCATTGCTGTGGTTTGAGTTGGACCAGATGCGTCTGTGTACTGTCAGCGGTGCTACTGTTGACACTTCGTGTTGTGAATAGGAACGCTGTGTATCTGTTCAGCTCGGCTCGCTCCGCCTGTGTTTTCAGAGCGTCACCAGATGTTTCGGTTACTTTACGGAGCCCTAAGATGAACTAAGATGAAGTTCAAGGTTGCAATTATTTTACTTTTTTTTTTTTTTTTTTTTTTAGATCATTAAGTCACAAAAACAGGCATGGAAAACCATAAATAATTAGTTTACTGACCTTGAATAATTTAATGATAATTTAATTTTGTTCTGTGTGTTAAATAGAGCTTTCTCTGTTTTCAGTATTATTTTACTGTCACCTCTGTTCACTGAAAGGACTAAAAGCCAGGAAGGGATAAGGTTAGAAACATAACTGTCACAAATAGTATCAGAAGGACCACTCTAGCACAGCGGTCCGGCTCTCGCCGAGCACTAAACATTGTAATTTCATGTCCAGCTCTGAGTTTTGTCACTCCCTGTTCTGTCCCCTCTCTTGCTGTTCCCTTTCTCTACTGTTCATCACGGGGGGATTCGGAAGCTCTAAAACATTTCTCCAGTAATACATATTATGTTTTTTACACAATTTCATCCCTGCTTCTTCTATAAAGTGGTTGGAAATATCATAGTGCAGCCATGATGGCACTGGCATATATATATATATATATATTTTTATTTTTATTTTTATTTTTTTTTTAATTTATTTATTTATTTATATTGTGTGTGTACATACTGTATGTATCTTTTTCCAGAACAGAAGAAAGACTAGTTTACATATAGACTGTCAATTTGTGTGTGTGTGTGTGTGAATGGAGGAGTGTGTGGCTTAAGTGTGTAACCCAGTGTATAGAAACAAGAACATGTTTGTATTACATCCCCCTCCCTCAGACCCCTGCCAGCTCATGAAAAAGAAATGAAAGCCTGTGTGCGTGTGTTGTAGGTAGTTGTGTGTGTGTGTGTGTGTGTGTTGTAGGTAGTTGTGTGTGTGTGTGTGTGTGTGTGTGTGTGTGTGTGTGTGTGTGTGTGTGTGTGTGTGTGTGTGTGTTTCCACATGTCTCTCTCCACATGGGTTGATCAACCATTCTGTCAGATCTTTTACTCAAGGATGGGGACTGCAGCCCATGTGAGAGTAAATTGGGTGTTGAAGGGGGAATTGGGTTCTGCAGGGTTAGACTAATGCTGGTTTAATGTGATGGGGTTTGATGCTGGTTTTTAAAACATATTGTGTTGTATTAATAGTTTAGTTATGTTAAAATCTACATTTATTTCCTTTTTTTGGTGTTTTTATTTGGAAGAGAAGAAGCAGAATTGCAATTTCCCCCCTTGACACTACCTTCCTATAGTTGTTGATGCGCCGATTAACCTTTCATCCTTTTCTCCCCTTCCTCTCTCCGTTCCTCCATCCCTTCTTAGAAGCACAACCTCTCGTAGAGCGGTGGCCAGAGTGACAGAGGAGCACATGAGGAGCGTAAACGGCGTGACAGCAACATCCTGACCGGTAACCCCCCGCACCCCACCCCCCCACCACGAGCACAGAAACTCCAGAAGAGGGGCGTCAGAAGGAAGGAACCGTGCGACCACCCCTCCTGCAGGCATGGTAATACACTCTCCGTCTGTTGTGTGTGTGTGTGTGTGGTTGTGGGTGTGTGTGTGTGTGGTTGTGGTTGTGTGTGTGTGTGTTGTGGTTGTGTGTGTGTGTGTTGTGTGTGTGTTGTGGTTGTGTGTGTGTGTGTGTGTGTGTTGTGGTTGTGTTTGCTTGGATGTTGGTGAATTATCCACATTCGAGTAAGACTAGAGGGTGTAAGAGTTCAAGATAAGAGATTGTGTAGATTTGTAGACAGGGCGGAAGTCCACAGGATACATGCTGACATTGAGGAAAGAGGAGAAGGAGAAGACTGAAAGCGATAGAGGAGGTGAAGAAGAAGAACAACAATGAAAGGAAACAGAAGAGGACAGGGGTATTAAACAGAAAAACCACAATCAGTCTAATTACTCTTGGCTGTTTATTAGGTTTTAGATGTTTTTCTTGTGATTTTGATCCGAAGGCAATGAATTTGTTCTCCTCCATAAGCTTATATTCCTATAGTTGAGTAATTATGCAAGGAATGAATGTGTCAAATCCTGCCTGTATTCATTTGTTGACAATAAATGAAAAAAAATGAGGTTTGTTCCTTAGCACAAGAGCCGTGTTACGAGAGGAAGAAGATGCAGAAAAACAGCTAGTGTGTTGTTAAGGAGGATGAGAGGGCGTCTCAAAAGATCAAAGAGAGCAGCAGAGGAGGAAACGACAAGTGGGGGCAGATAAGACCGTAAAAACATAAATGATGGACAGAAACCTGGTAGATGAAAAGCGCAAAGGATATGGGAAGCAAAGAGAGAAGTGTGGAGTGAAGAAATGGGGAGAGAGAGGGACAGAGGGAGAGGGAGACGGAGACGGACGAGGGATTGATTAATGCTCTTGGCCTGTGACAGGGGGAGCTTTCCCCCGAGGGGGGCGAGCAGAGCAAAGGAAGAATTATTAAAAACTAGAACAAGAGGAGGAAGGAGGAAAAAATGAGAGGGTGGAAGAGTGGTTTGTAGGGGAGGGGGGGAGGAAAGGGGAGAAAAATTAATGATTGAGAGAAAACAAGATGTTGCTGATGGTGACGAGGTTGGACCCCGCAGAAGAGGGCACATGGTTGAGCTCATAAATAACCAAGGGTAATGAGACTAGTGTGTGTGTGTGTGTGTGTGTGTGTGTGTGTGTGTGTGTGTG